CTTGCAATGATTGACATGCTTGAGTGGAAACAGAGTGAGCATCAAGGAAATGGGTTCTTTCTGGGGCCACATGGCTGGCTAAAGTCAGAATATGGGGACCAGAGACATGAATCAGCAGTTCAAAGTACTCGCTGCTCCTGCAGGAGAGCTGAGCTCAGGTCCCAGTGCGCATATTCGCTGCACAGCCACCTATAACTCCAGCTCCAGGAGAGCTGGCACCCTTTCTGGGCTCTGTGGGTACCCACACAGAAGCAGTAGACAACCACACAGCAGACAGACAGACACACATGCACACAGATATAAGCCTTTAAAACTAGATTATGTGTAACTGCTCAAATGTTAGTGAATTATCCACTTGAAGTAAGTGGTGAGGTCTTGTCTCATCATCTACAGCTCAAGAAAGCATTTTAAAAAAACAAAAATATGAGCCCCTGGGAGTGTGACTGAGAAGCGGGGGATCCAGCACCTCTGGGGTCCTATGCTAGCCTCTTCCTCTATGTCAGTTGCCTCTTGGGAGTTCGTGCAGAGCTAAGATGACGTAATTCTGAGAAGCGCCCTGGGAGGCACACAAACTAGTCAGTAACCTACAGAGATCTAAATGATGACAGAGGGCCAGCTGTCTACAAAAGGAGAGTTGCAAAAGCAGGGCGGGGGGGGGGGGGACACACAATCAGCCCCAGGAGCAAGCATGCACTCAGTAGCTTCTCTTGATCCTGGGCAGGGCAGAGAACCTGTATGCCATGCTTTTGAGAACCATCACTCAAGAAGACAGCTGGGATCTAACCTTTCCCATGCTGTCCCAGTGAAAGGCGGTGAGGTGGTCCCTGAGTTCCATGCTGTAGAGGAGCTGACATCACTGAAGAAGCCAGAGATGGAGTGTTACCTAGGAGTGTGCCACATCCTCCGTGTCTACCCACAGCCCAAACCCTTGTATTGAAGGAATCTGACACATGCCGCCTTCTCTGGACGATATGAAACAGCAGGTGTGGACTGCTCTGTGAATGCTCCCTGAGAGTCACAAGCCCTGACACCAAGACACGCTCAGAGCCTTGCCCACCTATGGGCTTGTGCTCCACCATCTGTGTTTTCTGGAGCTGTTGGCAGATGCTAATGCTGAAGGAAAGCGTGGTTTCCTAAGTTATGTGCCAGATACAATCTGAGTTCAGGTGGAGTTTATTCTAATGGCATTCCCTAGTTTAGTTTTAAACAAACAGGTTAGCTTTCGCCACCTAAATGATGCAAAAGTCATTGAGGAATTTCAGATGCGAGCTGATTGATCACTGTCTCCGAGCTTCACCATAGGAGCTGAGCAGACAGTGTGCAAAGGCCATTTGCTCCTGGCCTGGAGGTGATCGTCTTCTCCCGACTTGCTTCCCGACTCTGCTTCACCCGACTTCTGTTACACATGTATAGACCTAGGCAGTTGCTTTAAACACCCGTTACTACGGAGACCAAATTGTAACATTCATAAATTCCAGACTCAGTTATGCGTATGACTACATATGTTCTTGGTCACGTCAGTATCCCAGGGGGATCATAACTGTGAGGACAGATGGCATTTTCAGACTTTCAAACTCAGATTGCGTGATCGCCATGCAAGTTGACGTGGCCGCTGATACTCCAGACAAAGCACACAAAAACGGACTTTTAAAAGAACACCTCCGTAATAAGCTGCTGTCAAGAACTTATCATGCAACTTGTATCTTATTTTCCTCCTTGAAACACTAATGTCACAGTTGCCCAATTAGTCCGCAAGAACCTTCATCTGCAGGAGGCTAATTTACTGCTAAAACACCTGGATGGATTCATTGCTTTTAGAAGAACGAAAGTGGAAAATAAAACAAGAAAAGGAAAGGGTAAGAAATAAGTTTAGCAAACAAATACCCAGCAGACAACTGCCCAGTCTAAGTTGACTGCCACAGTTCTGTGTTTGGGAGTCTTTACTTCCAGGGGAAAGAAGGGTGGTTTTGCCCCTAAAGAATCAAGGGAGCCCCAACACTGGGAGAGTTGCTGCCAGAGCCACAGCTCTGCACAGGTCAAGGACTGTCATGTCCCTAAAGTCAGGACACGACTGTGGCTGTGATTTAAATTTCTAGGCTTCTGTGTTGTTTGATGTCATGCATTCCATTGCTTTATTGGTGTTTCTTTCCTTCTCCTGACCTCACCCTCTTCCTTTTCTTCCTCTTCTCTTCTTTTTCCCTCCCCTCCCCCAACTAAATAATGTGTTAAAAGGATGATTACTAGAGCTGGGATTGCCACAGGTGCCTTCCAAACTCGTTCAAGGAAACCATTTACTAAGTTAGGCTGTGTAGTATTTCCAACTGGTACCCCATATACACACCACAATGACTAAGGCATGGCTTGTATATATTTAAATTCTTTGCTTGCTAAGATCCTTTGTTACTCAGCTAGTCATTGAAACTGCAAAGATATTGTGGAAATGTCCTTGAGAGGAGGAACATGGAAAATTCCTCACATTCCAGAATCCCTGGGCAAAGGGCTGGAATTTGGGCTTTTTCTGTTAGATGTCAGCTTTTGGCAGGTCATAAGCTTCAGCCCCTATATATAAGACGGTATGGTACTTAATATTCATTGTCAACTTGACTCAAGTTCTAATTAACTACTAGATATTCCACTGAGCATGTCTGTAAGGCGCTTCCAAAGAGAATTACAGGAGGAGGGAAGACCCACCCTGACTGTGGTTGGCTCTCTATGGCAGGTAGTGCCAGACTGGACACAAAGTAGAACGGAGAAAGCCAGCTAGATAGCAGCACCTCTTGGTCTCGGGTTTCTGGCTGTGGTTGCTATGCAATCAGCTGAATCTTTAGTTGCATCTCCTAGCCCAAGAATAAAATACCAGTCACATTTACAACTCCACAGCCTCACCTGAGTGCGCACTGTATCTGTTGCAGAGAAGTCACAGCCACTCCAGCCCCCACCCCCTCCGTGGCAGAGTCTGATATGGTTACACCTTCGATATGGTGGATGAAGGATGAAACTAGAGAATGCAGAAGTGGTTGAGGGTTGGCATTGAAACCAAGATCAAACAGAAAAGACTTCTTAGAAATCTCCAAGTCTAATCCACTTGGCAGCTAGTGGCATGAATGTGAAATATAATCTGTGAGTAATTGCCAAATAAGAGGTTTAAATGGCAGACTCTACAAACGAGTGGGATAGGCTGTAAAAATGAGGCCATCCACACTGCCCTCGTGGCCGGATCTGGATTTCTGAAAGAACACAAACTGTAGGGTTGCTGTCATTTACAGTCTTATCACTTCACACATAGTATAAGACACAACTTTAATGTAAGCTGCTACGTGGACTGTAATTCTAATTGTAATATTGTACTTGTTGTGCTTTTAAGACCTTTTGACATTTAAATTGCAGCCTGGGAGATTAGTGGCTTGTTCTCACTTGGAAACAGAGGTGGTTAAGTTGTTTCAGACCCTGTGATTTGCAAACGTGCTTTTTTCCCCCCAGGGCAAGCAGAGCCGGCAGGTTCCCTGGTGAGGTCTAGGCTGGATTCTCTGCTGGATTCACTGCTGATAAGGGCATAGCCAGAAGCTTTGCTGGTTTCTCAACTGTCTGCCTTTCACTTTCTACAGTTGTTAGTCAACAGTAGGAATAATTTTCCTGGTTTAAGTAAATGGCAACTTTTCCATAATTCTTGTCAGTATTTTAGAATCAAATTCATTGGAAACCGTGGCTCTATGAAGTTCTGCATCCGTGCTGCTATTGTTTCTAAACAGTGGAGTTGAAGGGATTGTTTAGAAAATTTTTAATCCTAACGCTTTGAGGAACCAGGAGGTATTTGGTGGATTCCTTCCACGAGAAAGAGACCAGACTGAGTGACAAACACCTTCTGGCCATTCCTACCTGTGGGGGAGGGCAGGAAACTTCAACCAACGCAGGCAATCTGGATGCTTAACTTTATTAAATTGAGTAACCCCGGAGCTGGAGCTCTTTCCTAATTAACATAAGTGACTGCCAGAGCAAGAGGTGGAAAGCCGTTCTCGACCTTAGATCCAAACTGCTTTTAGCTGGTTACAGCCATGAGAGGTGCCAACGGTGTGGGGGATGGGTGCAGAAAATGTTAAATTGTGGCAGTGGCCTTCAGAAAAAGATAACGACTGCGACCCTGCACAAGGCCTGCGTACTGAATTAAGCATTTACTAGATATTTTCCAGAATTTTCTGCAAGGGTACATTTTAACTAGAAATAGATCTGGGCTATAAAACATGCAAGCTTCTCTTTTGGCTTATTATTCCACAATCCATCACTCTTTATTTTATTGCCTAGTGATGACCCTCAGAGAGCATAGCCAAAACTCCCCAGGCTTCAGTTACATAATCTCTGCAAATAAAAGGAGGGTTATAGTTCCCTCGACTGCTGCACCGGGAGTACAGAGTTAGGCGCTGGCTGTTCCGCGCACTTGACTCATTCGGGACCCCTTGTTGCACACCAAGCGATCTCCCAGGTGTTGAGGATAGGCAACCTCCTTCCCAAAGTGTGGCACGAACGGCCGTCCTAAGTGTGCAAACAATGCCTTACATGGGAGAAGGCCTGACCCAAGGGTTGGCTTGATATTTATACTTCTCTTTGCTCACTGTAGTTCCAATAACGCTTCTGGAGAGAATAAAATATTTTGAAATCTTGTTTGCATTCTGTCGTGGGACGTCGCTAAAGGCTAGTACCAGCCATATACGTCACAAAGTGTGATGAATTTTCTGGCCTCGTCTGTGCCATATTGTTTACTAATGGGCAGGGAGGGGCTGAGGAGAACAGGATCACAAAGCTCCTCTGCACTGTGTCCTGAGGTAGGGACTTTGAGGAAGCCTCACTCGGTGGTCATGCTCCCCCCTGAGGTCCCCACTGCCCACGAATAATGGAGGCAGAAGCTCTGTGGACAGCAGCCAGGCTGGCGAGAGGCGTCAGATCGGATGACAGCATGTCAGCCCCACCCCGGATGTTCCTTTCGATCCCTACTTCCAGTCCCTGGTGCCCTTTCAACCAGCTTCCTGATTGAATCCCCTCGCCATCAGTCGCTCTCCCCCAGTTTGTTTCCCAAGGTAAGCACCCCGGTTCTGGGGTTCTGGGTTTCTGGGTTGTACATGCTCTAGAAGGATCCTTCACATTACGTCTCTGTGAGGTCTTACTTATGTCACCGGGAAGTTTCAGTGAGGCGCCGTGTGGGTCAGGACCGGGTGTGGCCATGCCTTCTGGGTACGACCTGGATTACTTTAATTGATACAGGAAGACCCGATCTAAAGTGGGCAGCACCCTCCCCCATGCTGGAATCCTGAACTGTAGCGAAGGTGTGAGGTGAGTCTCCCTATGTATGTATTTGCTTCTCTCTGTCCCGCGTGTGGGTGTGGTGTGAGCATCGGCTTTGACTTCTTCATATCACACTGTCGTGGGCTGTACCCTACAACAAGCCTGTGATCTTCTACGTTTGTCAGAGGGTTTCGTACCAGCGGCAGGAGAATGGGATAGTCCTGCGTGCTGGCTGAGGAGCTGTTCACTCTCTGGAGAAGGAAATGCATTTCTAGTGTGCTGATTATCTTACACCAAGTGGCCTCTCCACCCCTGAAAGCCAGGACTTTCACAGAAGACTCAGCCTGGTAGGAAGTCCCATTCTCAGGACACTAACACAAGAGACTCTTCCTTGCCCTGGGTCTGCTGAGTGAGACTCAAGGCTGAGAGGCTGAGCCACAGCCACGGTGGTGTCTCTGTATTTTCTAGAAGGCGCAAACACAGAACTGAACAGATATCACGTAGTTTCCTAATGCATATTTAATCAACGTTTTATGTCAGCGAAATATCAACACAAGGTTTGTAATTTAGAAATCAGCGAGTCTGGTTTTCCTTCAGTCAATTCCTCATGCATATTGAGCTGGAAACAAACCAGCTTATGGAAGGTTTAGTTTTGTTAAAAAAAAATGGCATTTTAAAATTTTTTTCAAAATTGTTATGACTTGATCTGATAGCCATTTTGTTAAGTCTACTTACAGCTGAGAAAAGGAAATCCATTTTCTTTAAGACAGGGCTTCTAACTGTGTTGCCTTGGCTGTCCTGGAACTTACTCTGTAGGCCAGGCTGGTCTTGAACTCACAGAGATCTGCCTGCCTCTGCCTTCTGAGCTGGAGAGATGGCTCACTGTTGAAAGGCCAGACTCACAACCAAAAACAGAGTGATTTTTCTGTAAACCAGCTATCTTTTATTGAGTTTCCTATAATTATTTCAAGGTAAAAAATATGAATTTAACACCAATTTTTAAAATGCTTGATATTATTCCTTAAAAATTAAAAAAAATATTTCTTTTTTTTTCTTTTTTTAATTTTCGAGACAGGGTTTCTCCGTAGCTTTTTGGTTCCTGTCCTAGAACTAGCTCTTATAGACCAGGCTGTCCTCGAACTAAAATTTTTTTAAAAAACAAAAGCCAACTACTAACAAAGCATAAGACAGCAGTAAGTGCCAAAGGATGATAATATTCTAGATTGAAATAAAATTTGGTAAGTCAATATAGACCTGAAAAAGAATGGGGGAAATAACATAAGTGCAGCCGTGGCTGGTGGTTTAGAGTTCACCCTTGAGTTGTAGGTGCCTGAGAATTGACCACAAGGAGGAAGAACAGGCCTCTGGTGATGGACAAACTTGCATTGATTCAGACTCTGGCCTCTGGTCAAGGATAACGGTTCCCAGGTTGCTTCTTCTGGAATGATTTAGATGTGCCAAATGCACAGATGGAAAACACACACATACACTTGTACATACAAGTCCCCTGAGCACCGCTTTATCCCTGTACATGTCATTAGATACAGCCTCAGGGCCTCTTGGGAAAAAATTACACTGCTTTTCATTTCACACAAAGAACAGGCTCTTTAACCGGTGACACAGGGCAAGCACAGCCCGCCTGGGGAGAAAGGCCTGTGTGTGCCAGGTCTGCACAACTCCATCCCACTAGGATCCCATGACCATTATAGAAATTATGGCTATAAGGTTGACCACAGTAAGAAAGCAAAGCGTTCTTCCCTGGGTGGTGCCAGGGGTAGCACTGCTTCATCACCAAAGGGCATTAGAAGCTCCACAGGGAAACCATGAGGGGAGCTTGTAACTCTATCCTCCCAGCCTGCTCGGTGCACACTCCAAAGGCTACAGTGGCTTTACTGCCAAAGGACACTACACAAAGTCTACCATTTGAGGTCTTCCAGTTGTTTGTGTTTTAACAAAAATATAATATCACACACACACACACAAACACACACACACACAATGTTCATAGCCTCATCCTAGACTGTCTAAATTCCACACTGGCTTGGCGTGTTGGCAAAGCACACCACCATTTAAGATCTCAGTTTCATAACCTCAAAAAACTGATGCAAGAATAATAAAAACTCAACTCTATACGGAGAACTATGAGCAACTAAAGAAATCTGAGAGAGGGAGAGGTGACCTGTCTTTTCTGGGGAAGAGCACACCAACTGAACTGAACAGGTTATATTTAGGATTGTGGTGTGTATGTGTGTGTTATCATATATGCATAGAATAACAATGAATGAGAAAGAGGCCATGAATTTGGAGGAGAGATGAGTGTTGTATGGGAGGGTTTAGAGGAAGGGAAAACAAGGGAGAAATGTTGTAATTAAATGATAATCTGAAAACACAAAACATTAAAAACCAAACAAACTTTTGTTTTTAACCATTTTGTCTATTCCTATGGAACCAATGTAACCAGTAGAGACTTCTGGAAACCCCTGGCATTTTCCCACAGCTGTCTGACATACTTTTTTTTTTTTTTTTTTTTTTTTTTATCAGAACCTCCTTTGAGCACAGGCCCTGTCTTCCAAGGTGGAGTCAATGCCGTCAGTGACATTTCCTCAGATGCCACTGCCAGACAAGGCTTTGAAACTTGGATCCTCCCCTTTGTCTCCTCAATGCTGACTCCTTCCTTCTGACTCCTGCTTTCTCATAGTCCTGGCCCAAGAGCATTTTCCCGTCGGTTGACAGTTGGCAGAGTTTCAACATTTTCTAGGATTTACTGGCTGCTTTGGAAAAATCTCTCAATGACTGGAGTTTCCAGGGAATTCCTGGAGTTTGTGGCTGGAAATGAGACCTAGTACAATTCAAACCAGTTCCCCAAGTGACTCTCCAACCACGTGAGGGGGCCGCTTACACACCAAGGACGTGTTTATCACATCACTGTGACATGTACGTGTTCTTATTTTTGAAAGCAAGAGAATAACTTAATTTCAGGAGTAGTGATAAAATAATGATGCTTTGTATTGGGGGAACTAAATTTTATATAAACATTATGACCAATATCATTAAGAAACCAGATTTGCTTTTTTTGACAAAAGGCAACTTCAAGTATAGAACTAGCTTGAAATACTTTAAGAAAATATATTCTTATCTTGCCAATAAGAAGATTTCTAAACAAACTCATCTGGAAGTACCGACTAATAGAGCATCTAAAATAGTTTCATCGAAACTCCTAGTGGCCAGTCAAACCACTCTATAGACCTCAAAGGAGAATTTCGTGTTTAGCATTCATTGTAGAAAGAAATCGGATGAAATGGACTATAGAACTAATATTATCTTTATGAATATCCCAAAATAAAGAAGGAAATAACTTTTCTCCCTTTCTCTCTCCCTCTCTTCTCCTTTCCTCTCTTCTGATAGTGTGGTTCTCAGGTCTGAATCCAGGGCTTGTTAGGTGTTTGGCACATATTCAGGAACTGTACTACCTCCCAGAGCTAATATTTCTGTTTATAAATTTGAAAGACAGTAATTCATTATAAGAAAACTGATTTTACTTAGTAAATAACAACAATTTGAGGATATGAAGATGAGAACACAAATTCTCTTGAAGGATTCACAGGCTGATCTAAAAAGCTTGGCATCTCTAACATGGTCAAGAACTTATAGCTAGGAAGGTCACAGGCCTTGGAGGAGAACCTAAAGATTTTACATTGTTAAAATTTACATAGTACCAAACTAACTCATCTAAGTGTCTTATTATTATGTACATATATTATTGCAATTCTCAGCCCTCATCAGAGAGGGTTTTGTTTTTGTTTTTATTTTTATATTTTTAGAGACAGGGTTTCTCTGTGTCGCTTTGTAGCCTGACCTGGAACTCACCAGGCTGGCCTCGAACTCACAAAGATCCACCTGCCTCTGTCTTTCAAGTGTTGGGTAGCATTAAAGGCAGGTGCCACCATCGTCTGGCTTAAGAAGGGTGTCTTTACAGGAGATGACAATCAACACAGAGACTTACATCTGGTCATTGAGCAGAGAACAGGGAATGGCAGCGTGCTCATCCCCAAGGGGAATCTCCATGTCGGGTTCCTTCGTCCCCATTTCAAGGATCATCACAGGAGAGGGGGGATGAAAACCTGTGAGACCTAGGGCCGGCGAATGATTATGGTGAAACATAACCATAATTATAAGCATAATCAGTGCTTTCTAGACACCACAGGGTAGCTGCACACGTGCACTGACAGAAGCCAGGAGTTGGGGACCAGGGGAAGGGGGCAAACCGTATGGAGTTTGGGAGAGTGGGTGTGTCTGTGTCAGGTTAGAGTGTGGTGATAGCTACACTGTGCTGATTGCACTAATGCACACCACATTGCACATTTTACAGTGAGAAGACGGAGCTGCATGCACTCTCAGTAAATCTGTGCAACCAAGCAGGCAGTATTTATCTCTGAGTAGGTTACATGGACACACCTATTCTCTAAGTTAATATTACTCTTACTGCATTTCCATCATCACCCTTGTCCAGGAAGTCTCATTACTAAACACTTATCTGAAAAGAGACGACGGGGCTTATGCCCTTCCTCTTGCCCTCTGGAATGTTTCTTACGCTGTCAAAGTATCAACGATGTCCAGGGGTGCCCCAGCTCAGTGTATTTGTGGTAGGCGGTGACAGCAGACATGGGGATGTCAACTTGATAGAGGATGTAGTCTAACAGACTCAATTTTTGTTAGAAAGTGTATGTTTATTTAGCAAAATGTAATTTTAGTCAAAATATTTGGAGGCGGTTACCAAGATGCTCAGAAATAATTTCAGCACTGAGAGGTCTTAGCCAGTGTAATATTCTTAAGTTGAACATGTAAAATCCTTCCCTCAGGGCTCCCTGGTGGTGCTGTCATGGGGTTCCAGAGTTTAGCCGTGTTAGCAGCCTCTCCCCATACACTGTTTGCTGTGCCTCTATTTTTGGTATAACAACCCAACTCTGCCTGAGACTGGAGCTTGGACTTTTGGACATTCCCCATTTCCTACCAAGATGGCTGAGGTACCCTCTTTCTGGTTTTCCTCCGGCCCACACTTCTTGTTTCCTCACCTGTCCGTTTGCTTCACACAGCAAGCGTCTTCTGGGGTGCAGAGTGAGCAAGCTGCAGAGCTACCATGTTGGGGGTCATTTGTTATTAAAACTATTCTAGATGGCTTTTTTGTTGCTTGATAAAAAAAAACACTATGGCTAAAATCAACTTGGTGGGAAAGGGCTTATCTCAGGTTCCACCTTCTGGTTGCAAGTCTACCTCCAAGGGAAATCAAAGCAGAAACTCAAGGAGGAAGACAAGCAGAAATCGTGGAGGAATGCTACTTACTGGCTTGCTCCGCAGTTCATTCTGAGGTCTTTCACAGCCTAGGCCCACTTGCCTAGGGGTGGTGCTACCCACGGTGGACTGGGTCCTCCCACCTTAACAATCAATCAAAACAGTCTTTCACAGATACAGCCACAAGCCAACCTGTTGGAGGCAATTTACTCAGCTGATGGTTTTTTTCTCCCAGGTGATTCCAACTATTGTCAAGCTGAGAATAAGAACTGACTTGGACAGGACACAAAGTTCTGACGGTAGCATCTAAAGAACTGCTTGTTTTAGGTTTTTTTAATCTTATTTTTCCAGTAAATATTTATTTATTACCAACAGGATAGCACTATCAATTAACTTTCACAGTAACCTCCATTCCCTAGAAGACTATGAGGAGAATGTTTCCGAGATCAAATGTGCTGGTGGAGGTGGGAGGGGGCAGTGTATCCGCACATACTTATTTGAAAATTGGGTTTTCTTACAACCATACACCAGTCTCTCTAGCGAATGGCAAACACACTACATTCTTAAGCATGTATGTTTTCTGATGGAAAGCAGTTGGGTTAAGCAGAGGGCACACAGCATTTCCTGCTAGACAGATCTTGCCTCCAGCACTTCCCATGGCCTCAGCTGAAACGTGCATAATAATCAAATCTATGGCTTCAGCCTGTGCTCACTAGATACAAATCCTGTAGATAACAAAGTGCTTAAGCTGTCTTTCCAGAAAAGGCCTCCGGATACCGCTGGAGGACAATTTAGAGCTGTCTCTACAAGCCTGGATTTGTGCAGAAATCAGACTGTTCATGTAAAGGCCATCAGCTGTCACGGGCTCAAGATTTCCCCTGTAGGACCTGACGTGCCTGCATAAAACCACAGAGACAATCGACGTTTGCACGAAGAAGTCTGAAGCCTGACCTCATCGTCCAAACTGACAGGGGCTTCTCCTCTCTCTTACCTCACAAATTCCCATCACAGACCTATCTAAGAGGCTGGGCTGAGCTTGCAGCGCCCCGACCCTGCCTCCTTGCTGACTGCCAGTACAGGGAGAAAAGTTGAGCATTGCTGTGAACACATGTCAAGAAGAGCCCAGCAGCTTCTCTGGCTTCCTGCCTCCCATTGGAGAGCAGCAGCCATGGGGCCAATGGGAGAAACAACCCCGTGTCAGTCTCAGCTCGAGTCTCGGGTACGTCGCAGGGAACGGCGTTTGCCTGAGAGCCAGGAGAGCTGATATCTGCCACTGACTTCAACCGAATATGTGGATCAGTAGAACAATGAACATGGAAGGCGCCATCACCCAGTGTGCAGAGGTTTGAACGGCAGGGTGACCACAATCAGGAACGCAGAGCGGACTTACCAACTTGTCCTCAATTAAGGTTTCTACAGCTGTGTGAAAAACCATGACCAAAAGCAAATTGGGAAGGAAAGATTTTCTTTGGCTTATGCTTCTAGTTCACAGCCCATCACTGAAGGAAGTTATGACAGGAACTCAAGCAAGAACCTGGAGGAAGGAACTGATGCAGAGGCCAAGCATCTTGGCTTGCTCTTCATAACGTCCTCAGCCTGTTTTCTTATAGAACCCAGCAGCAGCCCAAAGATGGCCCCACCCGCTAGGGCCTGGGATCTTCCCCATCAATTACTAATTAAGAAAATGCCTTAATAGGCTTGCCTCCAGCTGGATCTTAGGGCAACCTTGTCTCAGTGGAGGTTCCCTCTTTCCAGATAACTCCAGCTTGTCTAAGTCAGCACCCAGCTCTTTGGGGACCAGCTCCATGTCTGTATTGTCTGAAGACGGAGGACTTGTGTGGTTTTGTTTAAAATGCCATTCATTTGCCCTGCATTGCCTTGAACACCTCTAATCCTTTTGCTAGACGAGAAAGAAAAGCTATGCTCTGTGCATCTGGTCAAGGACGAAGCACATTCCTGTGGTCCCAATATCGGCTCCCATGGTTTATAGCCCAGAGGAGGCCTTCTGGTCTCCTCTCTATCACTGCTCTGTCTTCAAACAATGCATGCTTACAGCTTTGGATGTTAATTCCCCTAAGTTAAAAGACAATTAAAAAAAATCTCAAGCCACTGCCAATTATCTAGACTCATGGGCATATTCCAAGGAGTAACCAACTACTATGGGGTCTCTGCTTCTGGGAACCCCAGGTCTTCACTG